ACCACCACAGGGGTCCCCGGGGGGGATCCTGTCACCACCGCGGGCACGATTTGGGGCACAGGGACCCCCAGTGCCACTGCCTTGGGCACCACAGGGGTCAGGGGACCCCCGGTGCCACTGCATGGGCACGACTGGGGACACAGGGACCCCCATCGTTACAGCCACTGCCACCACAAGGGTCCCAGGGGGGGTCCTGCCACCGCCGCGGGCACGACTGGGGGCACAGGGACCCCCAGTGCCACTGCCGTGGGTCCTGGGGGTGTCCTGCCACTGCCATGGGCACGACTGGGGGCACAGAGACCCCCTGTGCCACCACCACGGCCGTAAAGGAGGACACAGACACCCCATCACCCCCCCAGGGTGGGTCTCAGGGGTCCCTACCCCTGCCACGGCCACCGGGGGGGGCACAGACATCCCCGTTGTCACCACCACGGGGGTCCCGGGAGGTTCTGTCAGTGCCCCTGGCACCCCCACGGGGGTCCCAGCCCCCCTCATGGCCCCACTGTGGGTCCTGGGGGACCCCTGGCACCACCACGGCCACCACGGGGGTCCCGGGGGGTCCTGTCACCACCACGGGGGTCCCAGCCCCCCTCATGGCCCCACTGTGTGTTCTGGGGGGCCCCTGGCACCACTACGGGGGTCCCGGGGGGTCCTATCAGTGTCCCTGTCACCACCACGGACACCATGGGGGTCCCAGACCCCCCCCCATGACCCCACTGTGGGTCCTGGGACACCCCCCCAGTGATCCTGGGGGTCCCTGGGTGGCCCCACCTCACTCATGGACACAAGGGGGGTCCCAGACCCCCCATCACAGCCCCGGAAGGGGCCAAAAATGATGCCTTAACTCACAGATGGAATAAATCACAGCTGGGATAATCCACTCCTGGGATGATCCAAACCTGGGATAACTCACACTGGGATAATCCACTCCTGGGATAACCCACACTGGGATAACCCACACTGGGATAACCCAAACCTGGGATAATCCAAACCTGGGATAACTCACGCTGGGATAATCCACTCCTGGGATAACCCACACTGGGATAACCCACACCTGGGATAATCCAAACCTGGGATAACTCACGCTGGGATAATCCATGCCTGGGATAACCCACACTGGGATAACCAACACTGGGATAACCCACACCTGGGATAACCCACACTGGGATAATCCACACTGGGATAACCCACACCTGGGATAACCCACACTGGGATAACC